CAATATACTACGCAATTCTTAGCACAAACCGCACCTGCAATCTTCGGGAAGCTTCAGGACTGTAGTAGATCAATTCGATAAGATCACGCCCACTCCACGAACTGTACAGATTATTCTGGAACCTATGTCGCCATTAGCGATAACGCTAGAACACTCGATGGCAAGTGTATAAATGCTGACACGTTTCGCCGCTTGTCAGTTGATCGACAGCCGACGCTGCATGCGCCGCTATCAGTGCAAGTGCGCTACCGTAACCAGACTTTTCGTTTAGCGGGCACAGGTTCACCCAAATAAACAGTTTGACCTGACCATTCCGTCTCCTGTCTTCAACCACGTCGCGACCCCGTGACAGTATGCACTTGCAATGTATATGCTTAGGCAGGCGCCACACAGCTAGCGATTTCAATCTCATGCACTTTTTTTTTATGTACTACAATATTTTACAAGCTTTGCCCACAAGCAGACACCAAGTCAAGCCAATGCACACTGAAAGATGTCCGAAAAAGCAAAGACTCAAAAACAAAGGCAATGTATAATGCATGTGGAAAAATTATTTGGGTGTGTGTGCAGAGGAGCTCGACAAATATATAAATGTGCTTAAGGATTCCGTAACAGTTGTATTGCACTAGCGCACAACTACTCCAGCAGATTGGTCACGAATGGCTGTACAGTAGCTACAGAATGCATTATTCCAAGTATGGGTAATTTAACTAAAAAAGAAACTTTTGAATACCATGCATTATTCCAGTGAACTGTCAGTGTGTTTAAGGACTCCTAGAAGCCTACATTATATTCTAGAGCTTTTAGCCTTGGATAATTATTAGGAGTGTGTGAATACTTAAATTTTTTTAAACAAGTTGTACATAAATATGCAAAATACTATCTTCAAATATTGAAAATATCATCAGCATAATCAGCAGTCTATCTTATGGCAACTGCTAGACAAAGGCCTTGCCAAATGACCTGTCCTGTGTGAGCTGATTACATTTCAAGCTTCATTGCTGCACGTAACCCTTTGCCATCCCTGCTTGCTTGTGCATCGTTAAAATGTAGCAAAAAAAAAAGGAGTGACAATAGCTTTCATTACTCTTTTAAGGAGAAACACGGGTCTTAAAGACTGAAAAATTTCCGAAAAATCAATTTTTTAAAGTATTTTTTTAATAATATATAGGGCCTGAAGAAGGTGTTCCTAAAATGATTTTGCCATGTAATGCCTATTTGTCAAGTAATCTGGTCTCAAAGTCAGTTTCGTGATCATTTTCCCTCGCGACGCCAGCTCAAAAACGGCCATATTCGACGCCGCGGTGTCTGAGAACCATGTCAAGTAGCACAGCCATTTTGATCTCATTTGAAAGCCGTATTCTTCTTTTGTCTGTTCCAAGCAGAAGATTGTTTTTCGTCAAGCAACAATGCAGCTATTTCAAATAAAAAAAAACCGCATACTCGCACATCATTGGTGCATTTCTGTCACGTGGGGCAGTTCCTGGTTTTCTATTGGATGTCAAGGGATACGTCTGCTAGACAGCGGTATGCAATCTACCATTTTGTGACGAGTCCTAAGCTAAAGCTGTGCGATCGGTGGGATGGCAAGCGGTCATCGAAAGTTCCATACTGCTTATGCGTTCGAAAAGGAGTGAAAACAGCATCTGAGAGCATGCAGCGCCTTATCAGCAAAACCCTCAGCCGCCGAGAACACGGAAAAAGCTGGCTGTGCCAATGCTATCATGAACGTGGCTTCCGGCATCACAGACTCGATAGCCGGGGCCAACGATCACATGCGAGATCTGCGCATTGGCACTCCCCACGTTTCAGACGCTGAAAAAGTGGCCCTTGCGTGTCGTGCGAGTGATATTCAAAGGGACCTTTAGTCGACGTCAGCCTCACGACGCAACCGGTCTGTTTTTTGAGACTTGGAAGTGACTGCGACTACTGGAACGCCGTTCACCATCGTAAGCTGCTTCAGTGTATGAAGTGCGGCGTGTGGCGGGCCTGGCAGCATTTCTGAGAAAGATCGGGAATATGGCATTACCACGAAACTTGTGCTGACGTGTGATGAGTGCGGGGAACTGAAATTTGTACAGAGCTCACCGAGAGCAGGGGGGAGATGCGGCGCACGGCCCATTCGAGATTAACATGGTCGCGGTTCGCACGGCACAGCAAACGGACAAACTGCATTGAATTGCATTTTTTTTTCACCCTGAATGTTTCATGGAGATGCAAAGACATATAAAGATTATGTGAAAGTGGGAATAATTCCTGTTTCATAGAAGGCTGTCGCGCACGTTACTGACGATTGCGCAAGCACTGTCAAAAGCTGTATGCCGATCTGAACTTATGGAAACATCTGGCACGCAATGAAAAGAAAGCTTCAAAAAATGATGACTACACTCATGGTGGCTTGTAGCATCATTACTGTGCTGATTTACACCATTACCTGTCGAATATACATGCTCAACGTGTCCCTAAGCTTCTTTTCTAGTTTTCTGAAAACAACACTTTTCATCAAGTCCGAGGCCATTGCCCACAGTATCTTTTGATCTAGTGGTTGGATTTTGATAATTGTTGCAGCATTTGAAAGCTTATACATAGATGAGTGCAACAAGACCAAAACATTATAATAATTTGATTAAGAACAGTGATTTAATTGGTGATAAAATTAAGCAACCATTTCAGATTTCTGATTAGTCTACTTGCTAAGGCCATAACTCGAACCAATGAAGCTAAAAATAAAATTATGGTTTCCTTGCACAATCTGTTCTTTACAAAACACTGCCATATCTAATTTGCAGCAATTTGTTATGAGAAAGCTGTCTAAACAGTGGACAGAATGTAAGTTCATAGAACAGTCAATATTTTAAAATCTGGAAGCGAGAGCAGAAAACTAATTGCATATTTGTTTTCAGCTATGAGAAGTTCATATCACATAAAATTTCCAGCTCTAAATACTCAAAATTAAAAAAACAATTTTTAAGGCCAGTGTCTCCCCTTAAAATAAATTAATAGAACTGCATCTCATTCGATGCAGCACATTGAAGATACTTTTGAAAATGCACAAATTTCAATTATAAAGCAGAAGAATGAACTAATTGACACATCTATAATGTGAACACTATTTAAATGTTTGAAAGTGAAAAACAATCTCTTCCTTATGCAATGTGATGCTCATACAGTGTTTTCTTTTTCCAAGCATCTGAGCATTGTTTCGGTAATACTATTCTTAAAGGCTATTTCATTCTACCGGTTTACAGTATGAGAAAGTAAAACATATGTGGTATAAGAGAGTTGCAAAATTAGACTTGGTGAATAAGAAACCACTCCTGTCACCTGGGCATGCAGGAGATGAGACTAAAATGTAGCACGAAGGGAATGTGTGCATCCTGCATATTTCTCATTGATTACAGTAAAACATCCCCAACTGCCAGGATTGCATCACAAGTCTGCACTGAGTGGTAGTATGTGGTAAATGCAAAGTAGAATGTAACTTAATGAATATGTGTTAAGAGTTGTTTCATTTTAAAAATAATTACGCATAGCCTTTGTAAGTTGTTACTTGAATATCTGAATTCGTCCAAATACTTGCCTTTTTATCTGCATATCTGGTCATGGCTGCATATTAGAAAAAGTCTAAATATGCAATCAAATATGCTTCAAATAAGAAAAATATTCAATTCATATAAAAATGTCTGAATATTTAACCACCTTTAGTTATTATATTGACAAAGCAGTACACTTGAGACAATGGAAATAGAAGAGGTCTGTTTGATACAGAAATTGTCAGGCACGTGTACTGAGACTCTGTACTCAGTACAGTGAATAAGAGAGGATTTAGTTTGTCTGAGCAGAAAATATTAAGAGGTGATGATGAGACTGTTCTGGCTCAGTATGCTAGTTTGAAAATGCGAATTTAACTCAAGAAACAACCCATGCAATCAACAAGAAAATGTTCACAGTAATACCCCTGTCACACGGCATGTGTAATGTCATTCACAGCAACTGACATTTAAAACGAATGTCATTGCGATCTTGGATTCCAGGTCTACAGGGCTACTTGAAATGACATTCGCAATTTATGTCAATGTTCATTGGCAGGCTGCTGCGATACCGAAAATTCACATATCATGCATTTAATTTATGCAACATTGTCCGACTGATTCAAAATATACCTCAATGTGACAAAACAGCATCGGCAGAAAAAAAAACTCTCATACCAAAGCAACACTAGCCTAAAGCTTGCGGCAATATTTGGAACCATGACAGCGTTCATGAATTTGTGAGCGCGATAAATTATGAGCACTGCAAATGAACAATAATTACTCTCAGCAAATGAAGTATCAGAACTTACTGAAGAGCTGAAGATTAATGGCGACGAGAGGTTTGGAGCTGCACCTACATGCCAATTCGTTTACGTTGGCTGCTCTTCGGGCTTCAACTTTGTCAGCGAATTACAGAGAACTGTGGTGCTTCCCAAGAAAGGAAAATTGGTTTGAAAACACTCTCCCTAAACTGGTGTCCAACATAAGTGTGTGTATTCTGCTTCAAGCGAGTGTAACGCGGCGACACTGCCCCAAAAGAACAGCGAGCGTGTGTAAACATCGCTGACAGGAGTCTGGAAAAGAAAACATAGCTGTACAAATTGCTTCCACTATTGTGTTGCACATTAAAAAGTAACCAAAAAGTTAACAACCTTCAATAAACATGTGAACATTATTTACACTTGCTTTAAAACGTCGAATCTGTAATCTCTTGTCAAGCGCCTGTTGACAAAAGTACACATGTCACGCTTCCACGAGTTCAGCGAACACATTCAACGAACGAATGTCAGGTGTGAATATCATTCACTATGCCCATGCAGAAGCAACAAAAATGCAATGATGCATAATGTCATTCACAGCAAATGACATTACAGGTGCCATGTGACAGTGGTATAAGACAATACACAAAATTTGGGGTGAGATAACCTACAACTGTTTTGTGAGAAAGCATTTACAAATGAACCTCACCTGTGCTCCTGCCAAATGCAGCCAGGCACTGTCTCCACTAAAGTCTCTCTTTGCACTGTGATATGCTTGGTAGGCAAACTCATATAACTGAAAAAGAAAAGCTAGATCTCCAAGCCGACGCACCTGCAATTCTGGTGCATCTTGGCCATACCTGCAAACCAAAAGAGAGGGCAAGCAAGATCTAAATCCCACATTTGTTGTTATTTGTAGCCGAAGAATCTCAGCCTACATTGGTAGACAAAGCTAGCAACACCAGCAAGTAAATGTTTCTCTAACTAGCCTGCAATTTTTCCAATAGCCCTGGCACTAGTTGCACCGTTACATTATGTATGTACAGTAGAATCTCGATGATAGAATTACGATTGATGCGAATTTCGCGATGACACGAATTTTAAGGTTCCTTTGGATAAACTACATATACAAAATACGTCGTGATTTTATACGAACGGGATCCCGAGCCACTGCAGATGATACGCACGGGCGATTGACCGCTGCACGCAAATGGTGCAACACGGCCTGTCTATGGGGGGAAGGCTCATTGACACTGTGCCTCTAAGGAAGTAAACGCGACAAAACTCACAGAAATGAGTTTCGCCGCCTAAGTAACCGGAAAACCACGCCGCGAGGCTGACACAAAAAAATGCGCGGCTGAATCTGTCACTGAAGCTGCCGGTGCATCCACCCATGTCATTTCTGCTGGTGTATCTTTCACAACAGCGTTTGTATCGGTGTAAACTGTTTCTTTTAAGTGCTTTGCATGCATAACTAGAACTCGGTTCGAATTTTAATGCTCAGGAAATGGGCAAAATGGAATGAATTCTGAAGGGGCGAAGGTGACAGAGGTAGCCAGAACAAATGTGAGCAATCTTCGGCGGTCGCGGACGTGGTTTCGCGGCCACTCTGGTTTTTGGTTCACAAATTCGGGATTATATGAATACTTTGTGTGCTCCCTTTGATTACATATTGTTACAAGACTACATCACGCTAAAGAATCAAGACAAACAGCGAGAAAGACGACGTGATTCTGGGATGTGGGGCACGCTGTCGCTTGCCATCTCGGCTTAGGCTTGGCGTCGTGTAAATATATCTTAGCTGTAACCTCGTTTCTCTGTGTGCCCTCCCGTAACATCTTGGTGGAAGGTGCGAGGTAGCAAAGCACGATGGAGCTTCGCAGCGGACGCCAAGTTGTCGCTTCTAACATGTCTACCAACAAGGATGCTGTGCCAACAGCCATGCCTTGCGCATCAACGGCGCCCACCTCACCTGTGGTCATTGTGACCACTCCACCCTGCGATCCTGGCAACTTTTCGGGCACTGACGGCGAAGATGTGGATGAGTGGTTTCAGCTCTACGAGCTCGCGAGTGAAAACCACAGATTGGACCCAACCATGATGCTGGCAAACCTTATCTTTTACTTGAAAGGTATGGCCAAGGCGTGGTTCAACAACAATGTGGAAGAGCTCACCAGCTGAGACGTCTGTAAGACGAAGTTGAGCGAGTTGTTCGCCCAATCTACCGGATGCAGGCAGCCCGCTAAGAAAGAGCTAGGTAACCGCGTCCAGACATTCATGGAGTCGTACCTGGCCTATATTAAAGATGTCTTGACCCTCTGCCGTAAAGCTGATAACACCATGACCGAAGCCGACAAGGTCGCACACGTACTCAAGGGCATCGCTGATGATTCCTTTAGCCTTCTTGTATTTAAAGGCTGTTCGACAGTTCAAGACGTCATTAAGGAGTGCCGACGCTTCCAAGAAGCTAAGAGTCGTCGCATTTCCCACCACTTCACCCGTCTTCCAAACACCGCAGCAACATCAACTTGTGAAGACCTCTGTTTTGAGACCCAGCCCAATCCACCCTCTGCTGACATTACGTGGGTCGTTCGACGCGAAATCGAAGCGATGTCACTAGCACCCTTGAGGGTCCCGACGCCGAACAATCCTCAGCCCACCATATCCCTCCTACAGAGCGTTGTGCGCCAAGAATTGGCAAACACGGGCCTTCAAACGATTTGTTCTGTGCACCGACGATGATGATGATGATGATGATGTTTGATGTTTTGTGGCGCAAGGGCCATTTCACGGCCAAAGAGCGCCAGTTCATCTTACTAAAAAATATGGACAATGATTGTGATAAGCGGCTGTATAAGGGCCATAAAATTCCTCGCGGTAAGGCGGGTAAAAACATACAAGTAATAAAATCATGACCATGCCGTGAAAAGTGTGTGTGGTGAGAATAGATGACAAGACATGGTGATTATAAAAAAACGATGGTGGATATGAATGGCATTAGCACAAGTGCCTCACTCGTTCATACCCTTGTGTCCAAGGGCCGTGAGGCAAGTGCTTACTTGTGTAGCCACCGCAGCAAAAACCTCTCCAGAGAGGTTGTGCTACAGAATGCCCGGGTATATGACATGAAAACTATGAATTTCTTTAAAAAACGCTAACAATGTTTTATGACTAAAAAAGCGGCTCCCTACCGACGAACATTGCAGGGTGTAAAGGTATATGTTGTCGGTAGGGTAATGGAAAATATTGTTTTCTTAGAGTTTCTAAGTGTTTGCATTGGATTAACATGTGAAGGACTGTTAGTGCTTCACCACATCTGTCAATAATGGTGGATCGCCACCAGACAAAAGATATGTGTGTGTCGCGTATGTGTGTCCTATCCTGAGTCTCGTTAGTATTATATCTGTATGACGCGATTTCGATACGGGCAGCCAATGACCAAGGTGTGGCTTAATAACGTGTAGTTTGTTTTGTGTGTATGTATCCCACTTGCTCTGCCAGTATACCCTGAGGTTTCGTTTGAGAGACGGCTTAAGGTCAAGGGCCGGGATTGATATGGGTGTAGGGGCAGTGCTTTTGTGGACGGATGCAGCGAGCTGATCCGCCCTCACGTTGCCTTGAATCTCACGGTGCCCTGGCACCCAGCACACTACAACATGTTGTTTGAGTGTGTAGAGTGTGCACAAAATGGAGTAAAGTGAGACAAGGACTGGGTTTTTGTGTTTTTTAAGAGTGTGCAGAGCCGTTACCACACTGAGGGAGTCCGTATAAATTACTGCTTTTAGTATTTGTAATTGCTTGATGTCTTTGGCCGCCACAAGTATCGCATAAGCTTCCGCTGTGAAGATACTTGTGTCTGGATGTAGAGGGCCAGCATCCGAAAAGGATGGGCCGACAGCAGCGTGGGACACAGAGGAGTTAGACTTGGAGGCATCTGTAAAGAACTCTGGACGTGTGTATTTGTGTTGAAGTTCCAGGAAGTGTGTTCGGATATGGGCAATAGGCGCATGTTTTGTAACTTCTAGAAAAGACACATCGCAGTCTATAGTCTGCCATTGCCACGGTGACGGGTATGCTACAGGAGCCATTAAACTGTGTTCAAGTGAGACTCCAGTTTCCTCAGCTAGACTCTTCAGGCGAACTGAGAAGGGCTGCCTCATCGAAGGCCTGTTTTGAAACAGAATTGAGCTCGACAAATCATTAATAGTAGAGTATGAGGGGTGCTTCTTGTCTGCTTTTACCTTAAGGAAATAAATAAAGTACATGCAAGTTCTCTGCAGATGAAGCGACCACTCATTTGACTCAACATAAAGGCTTTCTACGGGGCTGGTGCGAAAAGCACCCGTAGAAAGGCGGATGCCCAAATGGTGCACGGGGTCCAGCATCTTCAAAGCACTTTGGGTCGCAGACTGATAAACAACGGCCCCATAATCTAAGCGGGTGCGAATGAGGCTTCTATATAGGTTCATGAGACATTGCATGTCACTACCCCACCTAGTACGTGACAACACTTTTAAAACGTTCATGGCTTTTAAACATTTTGTTTTTAGATACTTGATGTGCGGTACGAAGGTCAACTTGTTGTCCAAGATTAAACCTAAGAATTTATGCTTGGCTTTGACGGACAGACGTTGCCCGTTCAGTCGAATGTCAGGTTTCGAGTGCATGCCTGTCTTTCGAGAGAACAAGACACACGTGTTTTTTTGTGGGTTCAGTCGGAATCCGTTTTCCTCTGCCCATTTGGAGACCTTGTTTAAACCTAACTGAACCTGCCGCTCACACATTGCCAGATTGCAAGACCTAAAGCCAAGCTGGACGTCATCGACATATGTACAATAAAACATATTGCGAGGGATGGTCAAGCGCAAGGAATTCATTTTTATGAGAAAAAGTGTGCAGCTAAGTACACCACCTTGTGGCACGCCTGTTTCCAGGACAAATGTTTGGGAAAGAACCGTGCCCACTCGGACACGGAATGTCCGGTTTGACAGGTAACTTTTGATTATGTGAAACATTCTTCCGCGCACGCCAAGGTGGGACAGGTCTCTTAGAATTCCAAAACGCCATGTTGTATCATAAGCCTTTTCGATATCGAGGAACACAGAGAGAAAATATTGTTTATGGACGAAGGCGTCTCTGATCTGTGCCTCGATACGAACAAGGTGGTCTGTCGTGGATCTACTCTCTCGAAACCCCCACTGAAATGGGTCGAGCAAATTGTTTGTTTCAAGAAAGTGTACAAGTCGGCAGTTTATCATTTTTTTGAAGACTTTGCACAAGCAGCTTGTAAGTGCAATAGGCTTATAACTCGAAGCTAAAGAAGGGTCCTTGCCTTCTTTCAAAATGGGAATAACAATAGCCTCTTTCCAGGAGGTAGGAATAGTGCCAGAAGACCAAATAGCATTGTACAAACAAAGTAAGGTTTTTCGGGTTTCGTTTGGTAGGTTTTTTAACATTTCATACATCACACGGTCAGAACCTGGGGCAGAAGTACTGCAGGAGTTTAGAGATGTTCGGAGCTCAGCTAGACTGAAAGCTTGGTTATATGCCTCGTATCTAGTGGATTTGTGTTCGAGTTTCTGCTTTTCTATTCTTGTTCTGTATTTTTGGAAAGTGTCAGTATAGTGGGACGAGCTGGATACCTGTTCGAAGTGTGCACCGAGGAAGTTTGCCTGATCTTCCAAGGTATCACCCTGAGTGTTTACGAGTGAAAGTGTGTGTACTTGTTTTCCTGCTATCCTACCGACCATGTTCCAGACTTTAGCCTCCTGTGTGTATGAATTAACCCCTGATAAAAACTTCTGCCAGCTTTCTCTTCTGGCCTGCCGACGCGTTCTCCTGCCTTGAGACTATTTTCTTG